TGGTAAAATGAAAAAGAGTGAAAAAATAGTAAAAAAAAAAAAAAAAAAAAAAAAAAAAAAAATCCATTGGTAATAGACATTCTCTATTCTGTGCCAACTTAATGAAGGTGTGGGGGGGGAGGACAATGCATGACATACCTTGATTATTGTTCATTTTCCTAAATTACATAAGGTTAATCCTTACATTCAGAAATGTGATTGGTAATTTGTGATTGTATGCTTGTGTATTTCTGACTTTAATAAGATGGCATAGAGTTGATAATTTCTCTGATTGACTTAAAAAAAATCCCAGAATTGCACAAAAATGGCATTGCGCACACTCTTGACTTTATCCATGTACACTGATAAAGTCCTAGCTAGTAACCTTTATCGCCTTATCAAGATGTCGCCAAACTACCTGTTACCATATTCCAAAGATTAGCCAAAGTTCCTTTTTCTTTTTTCTTATGTCATATAGAGTTGACTTTCCAATGCCATACTCCTCGCATAATTTTGAGATGGATTGTAGATCCTTTGGCAGCTCCAGAATTGGAAACTCTTTTCGATATAATCAAAAGTTCAAGCTTAGTTTTTATAAAATTGCCATAATAATAGCAGTCTGCAAAAAATAATAAGCTGGATCAAATTAGAAGATTAGGGAGTAGCACAGTCTGCTACATTCACTGAAATGCTTTAGAATTAGTAAAGATAATTTTAGCCTAGTTTAATAGCGTCCGTTGTGCATTATTGTCTGTGTATCATAAGATTGGCGATGAAAGCCAAGTTGTTTTGCTAAATTTTGTCTTGCTTCTATTGTGTACTGAATTAAGCCTGAATTGTATTAGTTTAGTTATTTACTGTACCTACGTTTATTTCTTGCATATGCTTAAAACTAATCCGAGTCCTGAATAAATAAACTCCCACATATACTTAAGGCTTTATCTACGGCCGGCGCTAGATACTGCCTGGTGCAGTCTGCACGGGTCCTAAATTCTGCTACAAAGTGCCTTTCGAAGTTCTAAATTTTCACAGCGCCTAAACTTTGGATCCCAGTGCTTTCCCTAAATCATAATAAACTTCTCATCCCTTAATTCTGCCACTCGGTGCTTCCTCAAATTCCAAAAATTTCATCTTCCCTAAATTCTGCCATCCGGTGTGGACATATTCTGATTCTAGGTTTATGGTGAATAACATATCAGTTATTCTTAATTAAAATAGCACTAAATGTAATCTTTTAGCCTATGAGTTTCATTAACAAAGTCTATTTTTAGCATATGAAAAGAAATTTTTGTTGAATTTTTCCTCGTCAACATTTCTTAGAGCATTTAAAAATCTATAATCATCGCCAAGTGTAATGTTAGCATAAAAGGTTGCCATACTCTTGTTATTCAATTCCTAATAAAAAAAAAATTAGACATCGCTGCATGAGTTATTACTGAAGCTGTCATGTATTGATAAACATGCGGTGATGAAAGCAAAATATAATAAATAGTGACTCACCAGGTCAGCATCTTGGGTTTGAGATGTATGCCAAGCAGGTACTCAGCTACAGAGCCAAATTATTAATCTCATAAATTTATGCTTACATAATTGCTTTTTCCATAATGAGGTATTTTATTTAGTGCGTAAGTGAAATTAAAAATCGGAATTTTTAAGTGAAAATCTCTACATGTTTTATTATGGAAAGAAAAATGAAATACGCATGCATAAAGCATATGAAAAAAAAATGTTTGTGGCTTTGAGGTCCGGATGTTAGATTATTCCGGATAATGGACGTCCGGATTTCGGACTTTGTACTAATAATTTTTTTCTCCCCCCCTTTTTTGCATTTTAGCATGCTTTAAATCCTCAGATTTTTTCATATAGTTCATATTCTGGTGCTTATTTTACTGTAAGTTTTGAGCAATCAAAAAAGTCTGATGTTTGAAGTACTTAATAAACATTCTTTTATATCATTTTGTTTTAATTTTAAAGTTTATATTTATGCTGCTACTTTTAACACATATAATTTTTTCAATATCTTTATTCACTTTTATATCAATTAACTTTGGCTTTTAATTTATATATAAAATACATGTTTTGTTACCCCATATTTTCCATTAAACACTTGCCTCCTTTTCAAGTTTCTCAATCCCAATGGGCTGCTGATGAAGCGATGTTGTCTTATATTTTTATCTCCTGCAAAAGTAAAAAGGGGCAGGTTAATTCTATATTTCCTTTTCAAAGTTAAAAAGTGGACTGCATTTTGTAATGAATATTTTTAAAGTACACTGCTGGCCTTAAAATTGCAATACCAGGAAGGAATGATCTGACAAACATCAAGAAGGAAGAAAAGGTATTGATATGCAAATGATTAGTATTTCAGCACATTTAGATGATGCAGGAGGTAGAAATGACATCTGAAACACTGCATAAAAGAAAAGTTATGTAGTGGATTTCTCATTCGGAAAGTGCTTTTTAAGGTTGGAGTTTTCTCAGAATATCATGTTATGCCTCGAATAGGAAGAGGAAATGCTTACTAGCAAGTTTCAAAATTCGATAGAGGCAGGATCGTTTCCTATCGAAAGTGTAGATTATTCGTGATATCGTCAGTTGCACTGGTCGACATCCAACCACTGTCGTGCGAATATCGAATCATTGGATTTCTGAGAGTCATACTGAATGGCATGCAGGGTCTCAATGCCCACCCGTGATTAACGCGAGAGAGGACAGACATATTGTGAGGTCAGTTCTGCAAAACCGTACGACCACATCATGGATCATTAGTCAGGAAATGGGCATATTTGCAGCATGCCCGATATCCACTCGTATAGTGCATCAATGTTTGCAGCAGCATGAGCTATCAGCAGGGCGACCATTACTTTGGCTTCCCTTGACAATGCAGCTTAGAGAGAGATGGTAACTCTAGTGCACCGAACAACAAAGCTGAATACAGGAGTGGCACAATGTTGTCTTTCCAGATGAGTCCCTGTTCTATGTGCAGTATTCTGATGGCCGTATACGAGGCTGGAGACCCTGAGGAGACTGCATGTCACCTGCTTGCATTCGATATTGGCATAGGGGCTTTGCACCTAGTATGATGGTTTGGGCAGCTAGTGGGTACACGTCATGCACATCTCTAGTTCGGATCGACAGTAAGTTGAACATAGATCGATACATTTCTAACATCTTACGTCCAGTATTTGTGCCCTATCTTGAAGCCTGACAGACGCCATCTTCCAATAAAATAATGCAAGCCACATGTTGCATGTCATGTTCTGACCTTCCCCGATACACAGGGTATTCAATTGCTGTCCTAGCCTGCACGGTCTCCAGATCTGTTATAGGTCTCCAGCTAATACAGTTGATGAAGTGTGTTATAGGCTTGAAGCAGAATGGAATGTATTTCCTTTTTCTCTCATCCAAGCCTAGTTCGGCTCCATGCCTAACTGGGTAAGGGTCGTTTTAGCTGCCAGAGGTGGCAGCTGTTTCTACTAATTTCACACCCCTGTAAATTCCAAAACTGTTTACAAAATTTAATCATTTTATCTTCATGCTGTACTGTTTACGCACAAGAAATATCTTTTTTATATTTGCTTTCCTCCATGGTTCATTTTAAAGCCCAGCAGTGTAATATTTATTGTGTAATCCTGTAAATTTCTTATGCTGATTTTTATATTATATAATGTGCAATATCATAGTTATTAAAATATAAAAGTTGAAATATCACTTGTTTTTCAATGAATGGTAGTTTATACAAAAGTTACAGTACTGCATTTAATTATATATTTAAATTGAAATAGATTATTTAATGTGCATAATTTAATTCTATAGGCATTAAATAGGTGTAAGGTTTACTGGAAAGTTTTGATATGCATGCAGATGTTAATTTGAGACATATGTGACTGTCTCTTTTTTATCACTGCATTTATAAACATCTGCTCTTCTAAATTAATTGAAACAAAAGTATCTTGTGTCATTATTGAGATGAGATCATGTAAAAATGGCTACCAATAAAGTTAATTTGCGACACTGTATTTTGTACAAATTGCAACAAGGAAGAAATTTGAAGAAGTGCATTGAAATTTAGTGACAGTTTTTGGTGGAGATGAAGTTTCAGACAGAACATGCAAGTAATGGTTAAACAAATTTGAAGCAGGGGTTTCACTCATGATGGAGCTAGATCCTTTTTTGACAACATCAGAGGTTGCAGAAAAGCTTAATTCAGCTCAACAAATTATTCCAGATCATTTTTAGAAAGGAGGATTGGCCTATAAATATTCTAGATGAGTGTCTTAAGAGTTAAGTGAGAAAAATTTATATGATTAAGTCATCATATACACAGAAATGATTTTTTTTGGGACCGAATGGTAACTAAAGCTGAAAAGTAGATTACCAGTGGAAACATCATTAGAAAAAGAGCATACTGTGAGCCCAGAGGACCTGCTCCTTTCACTTCTAAATCTAGTTTGTGCCTGAATAAGAGAATGGGATATTAGGAGCTTTTGAAACCTAAGAGATACTGTCGGCAAATAGACGATTTAAACAAAGCAGTCAAAGAAAAGAAGCTAGCGATATTCAATTAGGAAGCACATCATTCTGCATCATGATAATGCCAGACCACGTGATGCTTTGGTGATTTGTTAGAAAATCTTCGAGCTAGGCTGGGAAGTTCAGCTGCACCCACTATACTGCTCAGACCTAGCACTCTCCCATTATTACTTCTCTCCTTTCAAAAATTTTTGAAGCGAAAGAAGTTCGAAACTGAAGTACATGTCAGCCAAGCACTATTTGAGTTCTTTGTTTCTAAGGATAAGACATTTTTCAAAAATGGTATCTACAAGTTGCTATCATGCTGACAAGAGGTCATAAGTAACAATGGAAATTATATTATGCAATAAATATTATTAAAAGTATGAAAAATGTATTTTTTTTCACTTTCCAAACAGACAGAATTTTCCAGTAGATCTTACATTTTGCAATACTGCATGTATTATATTGGTATAAATCTTATATTGTATAAATTCTTAATCTTTTTTCAGATTAAACCATCTTTGGTAAAAAGTTTAGAAATTGGAGAAGATCATCTCATACCATTAGACATAGATAATCAGGAAATGGTGACAATAACTCTTTTTGATGCTAACCATTGCCCTGGCTCAGTCATGTTTTTATTTAGTGGATATTTTGGTGATATTCTCTACACTGGTGACTTTAGGTACAAACCTGAAATATTTGGTGCCTTTCAATTACCTCCAATTGACGTACTTTATTTAGATAATACATACTGTTCACCCAAATGTTTTTTCCCGACAAGAGAAGATGTCATTGAAAAAATTCTTTCACAGGTCCATGATTGTCTAGTCAAAAATGATCGTATTTTTCTAGGTTTGGATAATTTAGGCAAAGAAGATTTACTTTTAGCAATAGCAAAAGAGAGAAATTGTAAGATATGGGTTAATCCAAATAGAAAGGAAGTTATGAGCATAATAGGGTTTCCTGATATTTTTACATCTGATAAATCAGAAACAAAGATTTTTGTAGTACCGACTAATCAGATAAGCATAAGAAACATGGTGGAGTGGAATAAAGAAATGAAAACTCATGCTATTCTGGCAACAGCAAGGTTTTGTGGCTTTAACTTTAAACCATTTTCTGCACAATCTGATATTCATGTTATACCATATTCTAATCATTCATCATATCTTGAATTAAAGAAATTCATCAAGGAAGTGAAACCAGCTTCTGTAATTCCAATTGTTGGTAAACATGTAAAGGGTATTTTTGGAACAGATATATCTGATAGAGCAGATATGAAAGTTTTCCAAGAATTCCTTCGTGAGTCAACAGCATCAGAATGTGTAATTCCAGCATCTGTGAAGAGGACTATGAGTCTTTGTGAACTTAATAATAATGCTTGTAGACCACTGAAAAAACGTAAAATAGCAAGAAAAATGACATGGAGGAGACCTCTTTCTGTAGGCATCAGGTATATTGTGAGTGAGGATTCAGGAACTGATTCTGATCCTGATGCAATTCATATAGAAGGAGAAAAGACATTAATTTCTTGCAATGAAGGGGTATCTGAATTTAGTTCTTCCGAAATTTCTGAAAATTATGATTCTGAAGAATCAGATTCTGATTGGGAGGTTACACTTGTGACAGGCAAAGGTTCCCAAAAAGTTCCTCTCGTGAAATGAGATAGTTTATTTTATGTATCGTGTGTTATATTGAATGTTATATATAACTTAAAACAGAATTCTATTTTACATGAAATTGAAATTATATTTTAAAATATGAGGATTTAATATTACTTGGTTCTTATTAGTCATGGTCTAGGATAACTGATTTTAAATTATTAAATATGATGCTTTATATTAAAATGGTATCTGTTCTATCTAGCTGTAGCATCTCAGAACAAGACTGTTTCATTGAAATCATTGCTTCATTTCACCATCAACAATTCATAGTTATATTTCAGGTACTTTGGCAAAAAGTTAATTTTCTGCAATTTAGTATTAGTAACTTTTAATCATTTTAAAATGAAATATTTCCTTTTTTAAACAGTTTTTGTGATTTGGGTGAAGTTTTTTTAATAAAAATAAGTTATTAAATTAAAACCATTAATCATTTTAAAAACAATACACTTTAATTTTTTACAAGAGAAAACTAGAAATTTGATGCATTTGTTGGAATTATTAAAAATAATTAATATTGTTTTTATATACATAAAATTTAATTAAAAATTTTATATTGAACTTTATGTATTTAAAAGATGCCATTATAATTGATTTGGCTTCATTTTCTAGATGTAATATACTAAATTATTTTTGGAATGTTTCTTTTATCTAATATTATATTTTGAAGGCAGCAAATACACTTGAGTAGACCTATATATCTTAAAAGATAGTTAAGAGCATTATAACAAATGGTCATCATAATGAAAATGAATATAATATATAGTTGTATCAGCTGAATGTAATAAAATTATACAGGAAAGGTCACTTTAAAGAATGTCAGCTGTAATTCTGTATATTGATGAAGCATTTTTATGATAGATCAATAGTTACGTTCCAGCTAATAAATTTGTTTCTACTGTATTTTTTCAAAATACTTCCTGTAGTTAGCTTATTGTAATTCTTATGATTTTTCTTTATTTATGAAATATATATTATATTTGATTTTTGTTCTTAAGAACAGCTACTATTATACTGGTGTTTGAGTAGGTGGTTTATCAGATAGATGTTTACAGTGTCTAAAATATTTTGTTATCAATCAAGTTATACACTGCATATTTAAGTAACCAAGACACTGAAGATCATTTTAATGAAATTTTGTGTAATATTTCAGACTAGGTAAGATAATGCTTATGGGCGACTTGCACTAAAATCGGGTTCCAGAGAATTTGAGTGTAAAGTAAAGGATAAATGTAATGGGAATATATCTAAATACATTAGGCTTCATTCCAATATTTTCATTTAGTATGAAAAAGACTATTAAAAGTCACTTTTATTAAAGTGACTTTTTCCGAATTATATTAATGTTTAAGAAAAGAAAGTTACTTCATTAAAAATGATATATCTGTTTCTTATTGCCTTTTTTATCCATGTTATAATAAAACTGCAGAACTTTCTCAAAGGCAGCAAATATCTTTCTTTCAGAGTTGTTTTAAAAAAAATATATAAGAACCTATTCACTACTTCACCACTTCTTTAGCATTGAGTTTTATTTTTCTGTGCCCTCTTCTGATTTTGTTTGGCTAACTAGTTAAATGTCCATTGAAAGCTTTGCAACGTGATTCTCAAAGATTTCATTTATATTTTGAAATTCACAACTTTTAATTTTAGTTCCATTCATTATGTGACTGTAGAGTAGCTATGGCTTTTATTTTTAAGAATCGAATAATTAAACCTTTCATCTTGTTGTTGTCTAGTAAAAGATTGTCAATTCACTTATATGATGTTTTGCTTTCATTGTATTATATATTTGTTTGTTTAATTTGACTCTAGTTTAAAACTTCAGTATTACAGACATATTATCATATATATTTTAACCCTTTAACGGTTTGACCCGTATTTTCTCGTTCTTTTATGCACGTCTCTTAACGGTTCGTTACGGATTATTGTTAGTTTAAATGTACCCTCGAAAATGGACAGTCCTGTGTTTTTGTATTATTGAAAAAACACTCCAAAAACGACTAGCCCGTATTTTTGTATGTCTTCCAACCCCCCAATGCCTAAGGGGACAAGGATCCATGCAATCCTGATGACAATGGGTAATGGCTGTCATTAGCATGGGGAGAAATCTCTTGATGTTTTGGGATAAAGGCCTTACACTGACTCTAAAGAAACAAATTTATTACCAGTTACAAAGTGGATGCATATATAAAGGGATTTAAAAATTTCCATTTTAGAGCAGTTATTGAAAAAAAAAAAATAGAATTTTACAAAAATGAAACAAAATGAATTTACAAAATGAACATTTACCTATATACCTTTTACAAAATGAACATTTACCTATAAGAGCATTAATGAATTAAAACAAGAAAAATAAAAGTAATAAATGCAAACATAAAAGTCTGAAAATGCAAATCTTTCAGATTTTACATTAGGCGGCTTTTTTTAACGGTTTGTGGGTTACCTTTATTTTAAATATCATGTTCTTCGCACTTAAACCCATAAAACTTCAGTTTAAACAGCAATACCGCAAAATAAATTTTAAAATGAGCATATCTTTAGAATTTCCGATACACAGTCTCGCCCGTTGAAGATAATTTTTTATATTATTATTTTCATACAGTGTTGCCTTTGCTCGCTTTAAAATCGTTGAGTTTCTTAATTAAAAATTCATTGAAGTTTTTACGAAATATGAAACATATAATAAAACAAATTCCAAATCTCGGCTTCGAGATGCCCATATTCGGGTGGAAATGTACGTTATTCAAAATTGGATGGGTCTAGGTACCGTTGTTTTATCACAATGCGAGAAAACATACATATATTTATGCAGATTATTCATTATTTAATTTCAAGGCAGATAGCCCTCGAGTGCTTTGCCGTAATCTAATAAACCAAAACCATTATTTAATTTCTTTAAATATAATACAGGGCTGTAATATGTGGTAGCAACAGTTTGAAAAGTGAACTGACATAGTTTTCAACGGAAAATGAAAAAATGAAGTTAATAGACCTTCTCGGCTAACGCCCTTTGTTTTAAAAAATATGTATCGTGTAATTTAATGGGAATACGAGATTAATAATTCTCTTAAAAAATTCTATCTACAAATTTATATCACGAATAACAAAAACGTGATAAATTTATAAATATTATAATCTGACAATGCGATTCAATTATTTGATTTCGTAATTTAAGAACCTATGATTCTTCTTATAAACTGTACAGGAATTTAGCAAAGAAGCTATTAAGTAATCTCTTATTACCATTAATCTATGCGATAAATTATTATTATTATTATTACTATTTGGTTCAGTCTTTTACTTCCAAGTATCCTTTTACCTCAAATAATCGAAAAGATATATAAATTTAAAACAAAATTCGCCCCCAAAATCAGAAATTAGGTTACAATTTCATGCAAATTTTATTTCAAAAGCTATTTTACGCTCTGTAAAATGATGCAAACTTAAAAATTTTGAGATTTTTAGTTTATTCTTTAAATGGAAATATGTGCAAAAAATTTCTTCGAACATTAAATTTTAAAAACTCTAAGTCAAATTTTATAAAACTCGCTTTAGCACACTGTATTATCATCTGTAAATGGTGTATGTACAAAATTTGAATTCAATAGCGTATTGAGAAGTAGTTAAAAAATCGACGACGAGCTTTTGATTAAGCAACAAACAATGTGAATGAACTGAATACAATTTTTGGAACAGCTCTATTTTTTTAAGCACTTTGGAAAGATCGGTAAGTTGTTGAATATAGCATAACCGTTATTTTTATAACATTCTTGGCATTATGAAACGTGTAAGTGACATTCATAAGCCGATTCCCGACAGTTCTGTTCATTTGTCAAAGTGGCTGCTTTTGAAATATTGTGAAGCTCACTCGATGTGCTCCACTATCTATGATACTCATTAAAGATATTTAATTATGTTTTATTTCTATACAGAAATACTGGTAAAATTAAGAGGTCAAATATTTAATTATTTGAGTTATATAACTACTTATACTGTCTCAAGAAATTTTGAGTCATTTTGTAAAAATAATCTTTTCTTTAAAATTCCTTTTCCCCCCTACCCCCTATGCTTCATAACTTTATTACTATTCTGATGAATGGAAGGTTTGTAGAGACATTACATTTTTTTTAACAGCAAGAGACATGAAAAATGAGCAATGCCTTACCCGGGACGCGAACCACGAACTTCTCGAATGCGCGCCGAGCGTACTGAGACCACGAAGGCATGCTAAAAAGGGGGAGAAAATACCGTATATACTCCCCCTTTTAAAGGGCGACTGGGGATTAGGGGACCGAATCGCCAAATCCTTGCGGCGGAGAATCATCATCCACCACCTTTTTTGGTTTGGGTGCCACTATAGAAACATTAGGTTTTTTTTCGAAGCAGACATGTGAAATAGGAGCAATGCCTTCGCCGGGACTCGAACCACCAACCTCTCTCGAATACACGCCGTGCGTGCTGACCATTACACCACGAAGGTATGCTAAGAAGGCGGGAGAAAATACCTTATAGGGTTATGAAAACCAAAAGTTGAGTAGGTAGTCACAAATCTAACTAATAAATGCTCTACAAATACAACTTTTAATATTTTAGCAGAATTTTTTGGAAACGTATTTATATAGATTGTTGTAGAAAATCGACACAGTTTGATGCCAATTTAGAGGAGGGGTTGTTTATGAGCGTATTAAAAATGCTTTTCCCACTCAAAATGTTAACTACTACTTTAAAATAATAATTCATAATCGCACTGAATCTGATGTTTACAATTATTTCCCCTGAGATTTCTTTAAAAAGAAAGAATTACAATTGTGTTTAATGCAGAAAATTTAATGGAATTGGCATCTGCGCAAGAGGACGGAAACTATCAGGGAGGACTTTCTAAGGAAAAACTAGATTTCCTTCACATTGAACGTAGAAAACCTTTCACCGAACAAGCGTGTTCACCAGGATTTGAACTTATGTAGGATTACCAGTACTCAGCGGTTTTTAGCGCTTGGCCACTGGGGCCCGCAGACCGATTAAAAATCTTGTTTAGAAACCTTTTATCTTGATTTAGTGTGACAGGTGCCGTAGTTTGAAGGTTAGGATTACTTGAATACAGCAAAACACACGAGGACTATCTGCTTTTAAGGAAAGAGATGCCTTCGTAGAGGACTTTTTAACGAGAAAAGTCTCATATTCATGTTATACATAGGGAAAAACATGGAAAAATACCATTCAGCCCATCGTATTCGTTCGTCAGGGTGTAAATCTAAGTCGAACTACCAGTATTTACCGGCCACTAATATGGCCGTATTTTAATAGGGGAAATAACTGTTGGATTGTAAGGCATCTAAATTAAGAAAAAAAAAAAAAAATCACTTCTGAGGTAATTTTAAACCCAAATTAAGTTTTTTTATCATAATTATGAAAGAGTTCAACTCATTTGTTAATTTTCAGATCGTTAAAATTAGTGTGGCTGTAATGAATGATTATTTAGACCTGTTACAGGAAACAAATACATCAAAAGTTTCCTTTAAAATATCAGGAATTATTGAAAAATCTTCTGTAATTTATAAACGAGAAAACGTATTTAACCAGATTTTACATGTGTGAAAAAATAATGATATTTGATCTCCCCTAGTAGAGACATTTGTAATTATATTTCTAGTTCCAAATTCAAAGTGAGAAATCTAGGTGCCTGAAGCCAGAGAACACTATCGATTCTTCTTGGCTTCTATTTTCAGCGACGAAATAGATCAACTGCATGGAATTTTTATGATTTTTCTCAACATGTAAACTAAATGCGTTGTAAGTGTTTCTTAGAAAGCTCGTCGGAAGTAGAATATCTCTATCTTGGTAGATAGATATCGTGTGCTTTAGTAAAGTTTAGCAAATCTAAACACAGGGACAGTATGTTACGACTATGTTTGACTATGTTTCAATAGTTTGAGGCCTTACTCTAACATAGTCGAATAGTCTATCGAACAGTGAAAATCACTCCTACATCGCCCTCTTTTACTTACTTTTATACTTTTATCTCAAAATTATATATTGCATCCACATAAAAATTTCTCTAAATTAATGTTATTTGGATTCGAAAACCATTTTATGCTTAAATACATCTTCCCAGATGTTTGTCTTTTACTCACTGAGAGTCAATGCTTCTTGAAGATGTCAATTCATGAATGAAAAATTATTTCTTGCTTTTCCGGTTTCCCCTAACCGTTCCCACAAAAGGCCGAACATTTGGGCAAAAAACAGCCCTCCTATGATGTTAATTCCTTAGTAAAAGAGAAAGCACTGAACGGGGTAAAGTAGTAGAAATCTTGACTTTCCTTTTCACTCAAAATTCAAGCATTCCCCAAAATCTACTATAAAAGATATACTCCCTAAGGTATAAAATTTTTGTGTAATGAAATTATAAAAATGCAATAATATATATATATATATATATATCATTCTAATATATACATATGCTAAAATAGGAATGCATATATATATCACTGATTATGTATATATATCGTTGATGACATATATATATCATATGACATATATTAAACCATTAGACACACTCACACACATACATAATCAGATATATTACAGATATAGAATCACATAGTATCTGTAAGTGAAAGAAGAAAATAAATCCTACTGGTGAAAGATTGCTGAAGAAATTCAAAGCATAATGAAAGTTTCTTTTATCTTGGAATCAAAGAACTTTTTTATCGCTTTAGTTTTTGGGAGACTATTAGATTAAAATGTAATAAATAAATAAATATATGGAAGAAAAAGGAAAAATAGAACAAACAATCAAATCCATTTTCAGCATTAAAACCAATTTTAAATGCGACAGTATATTTTTCTGCCGATACGAAAACTTAAGAAAATAGACAGAAATCTGCATTGTTTCACCTATCAATATACGACAAATGGAAAAACGATACAAGAAAAAGTAAATTTGAAAAATTTGCGAAAGCGGAATAATTTTGAATGCTGCACAAACAGAAAGATACCATGCAGAGACATTGGATTTTTTCAAAGCAAGAAATGCGAAAATTAAGCAGTGTGCTCATTGTGCTTCTAATAAGGAGGTCTTTCTTCCATTATAATTCATAGTTTCGGGAGAGAGACATGTCGGAATCCGAATCCATACGGATCCATATCAACGTGATGATTCTAAAATTTCATTATCATTAAGACTGGAAAAAATACACGATTTAATTCATTTTCATACATTTAAAAAGAAGTTAAATTTTTCAGAGAGTTACTATAAAATATTTATTAGAATGTCAAATTTAAGCATTTCAATTATTTATATAATAAAGGATAAATTTGATATTTATATAATAAAGAAAAATCGTTGATAATATCACTCTGATTTTAGTGGAGATATTTTAAGAAATAAATAAGTGAAAGCTGGAGGAAGAAAAACTATTTCAAGTTATATGTTTATCTTAAAAGTAACGAGAGAAAAACTATGTTAAAAGAAAAGGCACGCATATCGAAATTGTTTCCTGTACTGCTGACAAATTGTTATATGGCATGCATACTATAATGTTCATGAATAATTGATTGCTACTAGATTAATACAGGCATAGCATATTTCTATGGACTGATTTGCTGTAATTCCTAATTTGATTTTTACGTACTTTTATATTTAGGACACTAATTACATCACATTGAAGATTACTCAATAATATACATAAGACTGCAGTTTAAAACTTTAAAATTATAAAACAAGCAACAGTACTGAGTGTTCACATTTCTGTTTATAACTGCAATAAGAACAAGTTTTCTGGTCAATACATTGGCTGTAGGGAAGATTTTGTGATTTTTTCCATGTGAACTAGTTTTCTTTATAAATTCCTCTAAGTCTTTCGTTAAGTACATAGTATGAAGTTGCTACATTAAACATTAGTAAGTGTTTACATGGGTAAACATTTTAAAAGTGACTAGCGTAAAGAAAGATTATTTAAATTATGTTTTAAAAATGCAAATTCAGAACACTGAAAACCAAACAGTAAACATTATAAGACTAATTTAATAATCTTTGGTTTGGTTTACTTGAAAACTTTACTTAAAAAAACGTTGAAATTTACAATGTTTACAACAACAACTATTATTCTGCCATATTCATCGATTGCGTTAATCAAAATCTAAAATTATTTAACGTAAAATGTAATTCTCCTAAAATTATGTAAAATGAGAATTTTTTCCCGCTATATATGTAGCTTACAATGGCTAGAAAAAAAGATAGCTCTAGATAATGAGTATTTCTACAATGAAAAAACTCTATTGACTAGAAATAGTCTTTGGAGACATTAGTGTCAGTTAGCCTGCGGAGGTCAGGTTCCCTTCCAAGTCGTTTTCTTTTCCCAGGAGGCAGAGGTAGAAAGGACTCTTCCCGATTATTATTACTTTTAGCAAAGACTTTTACAATTATCTATTCAATCCTTGCTAATCAGACAAATTTGGGAAGAAAGGGAAAGTTGTAGCCGTCTGGTTATCGGGAATCCTTTTATTTCAGAACAGTGCATCGGCAACTATTGTGATGAATTTTGTGAGAAAAGAAAGTATGAAGCATTTATTTCGCAATGGAAAACTAATTATATCTTTGGCCCCACTCAATCTAGTGAATCAATGAGAAATCCTTTATTTACTGACGCTATAGTGTAAAAAATCTGAGCAGTCAAAATTGCTCTGTTCTAAAACTAAACAAGGTAGTTTATAGTCTTTCCTAGCATAAGCAAAACTTCTCAATTGATAATGGATAGCGATTCTGAAGTGGAAAGTTTGATTGAAAATTCAGACTTTGAATTAAGTTCTTCGTCAGACAGCAAATCGGGTGAAGATTCATTAGCAATGGTACGAAACTGGTGCAGAATAGATGACTCAGCTATGCAGCCTGCACCTCCAAATTTTCCATTTACCGGAAGTCCTGGTGTTTCAGTCTTCATCGCTCAGTTATTGGATCCCTTATGCTATTTCAGTTTGTTTTTTATGACAGAAGTTATTTCTTATATTGTTAAAGAAACCAACAGGTATGCATCGCAGTACTTTGAGTCCAGCGGAACTAACACCTGGATCGAGATCCCTTTCATGGGAAGATACAAATGAACGTGAAATGAGCATCTTTCTTGCTCTACTGTTACTACAAGGCATAGTACAAAAACCTGTTGAAAGATGTTTTTGGTCAAAAAGGCCCATTCTTGATACTCCTTTCTTCGGAAAGATTATGACCGAAAGAAGATTTTCACTAATAATGAAATTTTTGCATTTTGAAGATAATTCTACATTAAAGGGAAAAAATTATCCCAATCCCAAACTGAAAAACATTCATACTCTGCATGAAATGATAATTTCAAATTTCAAAACTGTGTACATTCCTGAGAAAGATATTAGTATCGATGAGTCCCTAATAGCATACAAAGGATTATTAGGTTGGAAGCAGTTCATTCCTTCTAAAAGAGCAAGATTTGGAATTAAATTGTTTCAGCTATGTGAGGCAGAAAGTGGATACATATGGAACTCTATAATTTATACAGGAAAAGGTACTACGTTCCATAAAGACTATGACCATTATGAATTGTCTGTTAAAAGCGTTATGACACTTATTCATGATTTATTAGGCAAAGGCTATTTCCTTATGAAAGATAATTTTTATACTTCGCCAGAACTTGCGGAACTGTTAATTAATCAAAAAACTGATATTTGCAGAACTCTGCGGGATTCCAGGAAAAGTTTACCCCATGCGATTAAATTACAAAAAGTGAAAAAAGAGGAAGTAATTGCCTTTCAGAAAGGCAAAATATGTGTATTGAAGTGGAAGGATAAAAAGCCTTTAAGCATGTTGTCAACTGTGCATAATAATGAAATGATTGAAACAGCAAAAGGAAAAAATTATATATTAAAACCATCCACAGTTGAGAGTACAACGAAAAAATGGGCGGCGTTGATAAAGCAGACCAGTGTCTGTCTTACTATCTAGTTATGTGAGTAGGCAGAGAAAGTATTATAAAAAAATGTTTCGGTATTTTTTAAATCAGGCTGTCTGGAATGCATACATAATTTACAAGAAAAAGTGTAATGAACTGACACATTTGGAGTTTCGCTTATGCCTGATTGAACGAATAATTGAAGAAAATGCAAAAGTTCTACATGAACAACCAAGAAATAGAGCCTTAAAGTTTACAGAAAATGTCGTTCGTTTGACAGGACAGCATTTCCCATCGTATATTCCAGGTCTTAAAAGGTGTAGTCGTATGTGTGCGGTATGCATCACCAAAAAAAAAAAAAAAAAAAAAAGACAGTGGAAAAAGTATCTGAAGAGAAACAAAATTTCAGTGTGACGAATGTAACATCGACTTGCGCTCCCATGTTTTAAATTATATCATACAGTTTCAGAACTTTAAACTTTTAGGGTTTCTTTGTCTTTCTTATTATTTCTTTGTGCGAAGTAAAGGAAGCATTCTAATTGCAAAAAAATTCGGGTATCATACTTCAACGGAAACATCCATTTTGACCGCTCCGGAGTCCATTTGTAGGACTTTTATGTGTGGCATCTTTGTACGTGCGAAAGGAATAAAGGGTATTTTTTCCAAGATGGATTACAAAATGGACTTAAAATGAATTCAAAAAGGATTTTTTTTGTGATGTATTTAGATGCGCAAGTATCTCACATAATTCAAAAACTATTAGCCATAGAACGTTGAAATTGTCTATGCTCTAACATCCAGTTAAGCACATTTTCTTATTGCGATCGGCTGTACCAAATATATATATGTACTCAACCAATTATATGGCTCAGTTTAAATATTAGTAAATTGTGTATTTTTTGCTTTAAAGGTAATTGAATTATGTTGTTCTTATGTTTCAGTTAAGGTTTTCATTCATCTAATTAATCCTAATACTAGTTCAATTATATAATATCTAAATCCAATTATAAATTATGTTATTACAGTAAGAAATTTCATTTACCAAAATTAGCAAGTATGAAATGTTAAAAGGCATTCGCATTAACGTAGAAATCCTATTTTGCATTAACGTATTTAGAAAGTGTGTAATGTATTTTGTCGAAAATATGGTTTTTAAAAATTTGATATTTTAGTAAAAATTTGAATGCTGCTATGGAACTGAATATTGTTTTCTTCATAAAATGTCATTTATATTTTTATTGTAATGTTTGTTTCTTAAAATCATGATTTCAAAAAAGATTATTATCTTTTTCTGGAACATACTCAATTATTACAATGAGAAACTTGAATCCTTTACCAGAATCAACACATATGTGTTAAAATGCTTTGAATAATATCGATTTAAATTAATGTGTAAATAACATTTTGCTCCAACATATTTGGAAAGACTCATACTTTTGTCAGAAATCCTGTTTTTAAAAAGTCGATGTTTTTGCAAAGATCATATGAGGTAACTTAATTGGATGTATTTTTATCTTCCATAAAATATCATTTAGATTTTTATTTCAATATTTGTGTCTTCTTAAAACCATGTTTTCATAATTCCTTATTGCAGTAAAAAATTTACTTACTCAAAACCAGCAAGTATCAAATGTTAAAATCTTAGATTTTTTTTTTTTTTTATTGCAATGCTGGTTTTTTCTTAAAATCATATTTTCAAGATTCCTTGTTAAGTGAAAGATTTTCTTTGCCAAAATCAGCAAATATCAAATGTTGAAATGCATTTGAATAACCTCCATTTGAATTAATGTGTAAATACCATTTTACCTTAATATACTTAGAAAGTGTATAATGTATTTTTTCTAATTTTTTTAAAACTTGATGCTTTAGTAAGTCTGAATAATGTCACCGAATCAAATACACTTCGTTTTCATAAAATATTATTTAGATTTTTATTTATGTTTCTTTCTTTTTAAAATCATAATTTTAAGATTTTTTATTTTCCTTTATCAAAATCGGCAAGTATCAACTTTTAGAATGTATTTTTATAATTTGTGCTTTGGTTGATGTATTAATATTTTATGTTAAAGTATTATGTGCATAAATCGGAACGTGCTTAGTTATCTGTACGGGCTTTCGCATGTTTGATGCCTTAGTAAGGTTACTGAATCAAGAAATAATTTTCCTTTCATAAAGTATCATTTAAATGTTTATTATAATGCTTATTTCTTCTTTGAATCATGTTTGAAGGATTCCTTTTCATAGTCATAATTTTTCCTTTAACAACATCATCAAGTACCATATGTTAAAATGTAATTGAATAACTTCCACTCGAATGAATAACATTTTGCATTAACGCATTTGGAACATGCATAATTTATAGTTTTGACGGAAAGAAGACTTTTGAAAATGGATGCTTTAAATAATGATTTAGTGAGGTTATTGAATGGGATATATTTTTGTCTTTATAAAATTTTGTATAGGTATTTAATGCAATGTTTCTTCCTTTTTATGTATTGGGGTTTTAAGACTCTTTATTTTCTATACTAAATCAATAAGCATCAGCTGTTTGAATAAGTTTTAATAATATGTATTGTATTTAGTGTGTACTAATTTTATTTACATATTTGGTTTGTGAATTAAAATGTTTGACAGGCTTTGAATATTTCTTAAAGTGATTGATAAAATACAATCAAGTTCCCTTGGACTTCCTAAAATTTCATTGAGAATGTTATTCCAGTGTTTGCTTCTTTTAGAATCAGAATATTAAAAATAATTTCTAGAGAAATTTTTGTATAAAAAGATGTTCAGTTTGGTTTTTAAAAATTAAATATAAAAGCTTTGTGAACACATCGGGCTGGATGAATTTAAGTTTAAGTGCTTAGAAGATTGTGGTCTCCATATGTTTCGCCAGTTTCACATCTTTCTCTCGGTTTTGGTTTATTCCATTATTCAGGTATCTGACAAACTTTGGCACGTCCTCCGAATAGTAGAACCTTTTGTGATACTTCCTTTCCTAAAGACCGTGGTATTCCATTTCCTAACCTTCCTTTCGAGATCCCTAGTGCGAAGATAAGTCAGTTTAGCACGTTTAGCTTATCTGCTATAAGGTATTTCTACCGTCTTCTTAGCATCCCTCTATGGGTTGTCGCACGGCATGTTCCGAGGCAGGGTTCAATCCGCGGGTGTTGCTCATTTTTCACTTCTTCGCTTCGAAATACCTTGTCTTACCTGCAGGAAAAAGCAGTCGACTGACAATAGTTGTTTCGTAGTTCGAAAAACGCGAATTTAGCGACAGTAAATTTCTGGAAATGGTGATGCTAACAAGGTGACTTTGGTTTCTATATAAAAGACCTTGTAAAGTTTTATTTAAAAAAAGGTTGTATAGTTCTGTGATATTAAAGGTAGCCAGAAAAATGAGTTAATATATATATTTCTAAGTCCCACCTTATATTACATATTTATCTCCCATTATGTCCTTACTTAGCTTCGGAGAGATGTATGAAAATATGGGTAATTTATCTATATAAACACTATAATTATGAATTTTATAGTTACGTACTAAAAGGAGAAGATAAAAATTTGTATTTAATCTGTCATTATCTGCATCAAAGGTCCAAATGTTGTAAGTTTTTGTGATAAGAAGTAGTTGAAAAATGTGAAGCTCGCGACAAAGGGAAGGGATGCTTTCGTGAAGGCCTTTGTAAGGGAAACTGTCTCGTAATCGCACTACATATAAAGGATAACCACGACTATTGTTGATTGTAGAAGATCAAAGACTTTCGCTTTTATATAAAAAGAAGCGTTAAAAAAGTCGTGTGATCTTCTGATTTATGGTAATATAAATATTTTTTCAATATGCAGTTCTAAAAGTTTCAGTAATACAATTTAATTTTATTCATTTAGATTACTGCTAAAGAACCAGAAATTCTAGTTATGTAATGACTTTTTAAGTGATTTAGTTCGCAGTGAGCATTATGTATCACATTAATGCGTCTGTATGTAAATAAACGTTAATTTTAGTAATGAAAAGGAATTTCAGGGCGAGTTTATGATAAAATTGGATTAAGAATACCTTGGCAGGTGTAGAAACTCTAAATGCTGGCCACATAATTTGCTAAAGCTTGCTAGAAATTTTGTCTCTCTATAACTCGCCTTCGAATGAGTCTTATTATATATTCTATTCCGTCGTAGAGTTAAAACTTTCTTTCAAATTTGTTCAAAGAAAAGAAAATTACTGCTATTTGTTCATTTCTTATCCATGCAGTTTATGAAATTGTTCTTGCTTAAAAGAATCTATCACATGCCCCCCACCAAATGAGATAAAAAAAACTGTTTGTTCTGTTGCATTAACAATAAACCATTTGGAAAATTGTGTTGGATTTTTTTTTTCGAAATCATGAAATTCATTATGCATCTAAATTTACTACAATATTAGTTGCCAGCATTAAAATTACTAATCTTAATGAACACGAATACACTAGAAATATTTTACACGAAAGCGGAAGCCACTAGCTGTTTTTAAAAGCAGAAGCGCAATTAAGAGAAAAAGGAAAAAAAGAATGGTAAGGAAGGAAAAAAAATCGTAATTCGCGAGAGTTTCACATTGCTAAATCTTGTTTTAAAACAAATACCAAAGAAAGAAAATATTATCTTTCTTCAAATATAAAAGGAAGAAATATGAAATTTACGTACTTAAAATTTTAGCGAGTCAATACTAATATTCAATATTTTTCAAACATCAGAACCACTATACACAACTTCAAGAAAAGTGCATGCTAGTACATGCTAGAAAATTTTGCTAATATAAAAAGCTTATGGATTCCAAAATGTTTGTTAGATTAGTATGATAAATTCAATTTCTGGCTTTCTATGATTCAAAAGCATTAAAATATCAGGCTTTTAAATAAGACAGAAGAAATATTAAACAGCAAAAATGGAATGATAAAAGTGGAAAAGGTGTTCCATCAACCATTATTATATCTGTACTACATATCACAATCAGTTTTCTTGAGATAACGGAAGAGAGATTATTTCCTTGATAACGGAGAATAGGACTTAAGTATTTAGAGCA